AAAAAAAAGAGCTACTAGTAGTTTAAATAAAAAGTGGAATGTGAACTTATCGATAAGTTGATTAATATATGAGCACATCCCCTTTAATTAGTAATCAAAAACATTAATTCCAGTGTAACCTAAACTACACTCCCCCCTTAGCATCTTTTCTTTTTCTGGTTTCTGCATAAGGTAATAGGCTTACGAATAAGTATATTTTCATCATACAAGTCAGTATCACTTTAGTTCAGTCTTTACAGTCATTTATTACATCTGAAGTAAGGTGCACAATTGACTTTGTTACATCTCTAATTGTGTGCAAAAATTGAATCACATAGCGGGAGGCTACATCTACATAAGGATTCAAGTCCAGGAAACTCATTGTAGTTACTCTGATTAGATATTGTTTCTTTCTTTTTCTAAATATACCAAGTGTTATAGGAAGATTAAAGGCTGAGAGTACACAAAGTCACTTAAGAAGAGCAACAGTTAAATTTCTCTTTGCCTGTACATGCATATGCCTGAAGCATTTTGATATTAATAGTGACTGAGTGTTTTATCAGTCTTTCATAATCATATTACTCTAAATTATTCTGCAAGGACAGAGAGTAGCACTGGAAGAGCAATGACACAACTGTTACTAACATTTTATGAAGTAAAAGCTATTTTTATAAAAAATGTTACAAACTCCTCCTGCCTCAGCCTCCCAAGTGCTGGGTTTCATAGGCATGTGGCATCAACCTTGGTTACAAATTCTTTTTTAAAAACCTAAAAATAATTCCTCTATAGATCTTTCACCACTGAAACTTCATTGTAACAAGATTTTCTTCCTAAAAATATAAATTTAAATTCTCTAGATGTTGCTTCAATCAAGGAATTGAAACATCACGACACTGAAAAGGAAGAATGAATGGACTGGTGCATATAGGACTCAGGGTAGGTACTGTACTTGGTCATAGATTTAGGACAAGATGTTAGAAACCTCAGAGGCAGTGTATTTTGAAATCAAAGTATACTATGTTCCAGAGAAGAGCAAAAATATCAGACATTTGCTCCATACTATAAATCAAATTTGAAAAAAAACTTTTTGGACAATTCACTAGTTTGTGTCACCTTCAGAATTAACTCAAGTAGATTTCGAGGAATTTATCCACCGCGTGAGAGAGCATTTACTTTTCACAACTAATTCTCAAATCAATAGAAGAGATATACATTTTGAAGAAAACATAATAATCATATTTCTCCCAATTCTTTTCCAATTCACTCAGTGAACAATCGGGCAAACAAGTGCAAAAAACTAATATTCAACTGAAGTTTTAAAAGGCACAGTGCAAAAGTTTATAGGCCTTAAGAAAGAAAATGCAAACAAAAGCGGATATATGCCTGGGTCATTAAACAGTCTCCCTTATGATTAGAGTGGATTTATGTCCATTATTCATCCCTCCAAGTCAAAGACTTTTAAGAGTATTGGGAACTGACAAGCTTGTGAATTTAAGAAATTACAAAAGAGAAGACTGCCACCATTTGTCTTGCTAATGAAAAGTCGGAGACTTCTGCTGAGCCCTCAGTTCCACCTAAATAGGCCACACCAGTTTCACTTCGAAGGTGTTTCGCTCATCGCGCCAGCTGCCAGAATGCCCCAGACACCCATAACCTAGCACAACTGCCCAGGACAGAAAGTTCTGCGTGCATTTTCTCAGTCATCCGAGTTAGTATTTGCTCTCATCACCACAGGGAAAAAAATCAGAAAAGAGTCTATGTGAGTCAGGAAAGGAGGGGAGAGCCTGCAGGAAGCAATCTGAGGGAATTCAGGACCGTGCCAACAAAAGGATTGTGTTCGCGTGGTTCACATACCTAAACGCAAACTGCATGCCGTCTTTGCCATTCATTTACTTCTCAAACATTTACCCTTTGCTTTCCCAGAAAACAAACTTCCCAGCTCCACAGCCACACACAACCCCTGAGAAGAGCTGCACTCACCAAACAGTGACAGGATCCCACAGACGGTCCAGACGGTCAGAGACATGCCCACGCTGCCTGTGTTCTGGAGCACGCCCTTCGGAGAGATGAAGATCCCCGCTCCAATGATGGTGCCAATGATGATGGAGACTCCCCTCAGCAGAGTGATTTTCTTCTTCAGCACTACTCTCTCCTGCCCCGTGGCTGGTGGCTCCCTGCCACCCATGGAGGGCAGCCCCCCCTGGGCATTTCCCTGCAGGTAACCTCCTTTGGAGATGGTGGCCACAACAGGCTTTCTGACCATGGTCCTGTCACTCGGGGGAAAAATAAAACAGGAAGAAAAAAAGCATCAAAACTTTCAACTTGAGGGTCTCTTTGGTGTGACTGATTGGTCTCTCTTCCTCGCTGCTTTCAGAGTGTCTCTCTCAGCGCTACTGTGTTCACAGGGGAAAACTCAAAGGTGTATTTTAGCCTCCACAGCTCTCTAATTACGCCTCAGAAACACCTGTGCGTGCTTGGTGCGCTGGTTCCCACCTCCTTGTCCTGTCCCTGTGGCTGCCGCGGCGGCTGCTGCCCTATCATTACAAACCAGCTCAGCTTCCTCATGGGCTTGTATTTAAACTCCTGCCTGTCACACCAACTTACTCCAGCTACATGATGATGCAAATTCTCCAGGTTTGCATCAGCCACATGAGAAGACTCCAGCATTACTCAGCGTTTTTTCCCCCTCCTTTTTTTTTTTTTAACAGTAGCAGCATGTTGCTCAACTGACCTCAGCTTTTCTGAGAACAAAGCAGCACACACTTAAAAGGGATCTTAACCAATCCTGAAGACCGGAAATTCACCACAGACAGACCTTCCTAGAGATTTAAAACAACTCCTAGTGAGGGACAAAAGCACTTCAAGTGCAAAGAAAATCAAAAGTGAAACAGGAAATGATTATTTCATTTTAAAGAGTTACTTTTTGCTTTAACTCACGTATAAAAAATGTTTTATGCACAACTGTTTTGACAAGAGAAAGCAACTCAAAGCTGCACTGTTTATAACAACAAAATTTACATTTAGAAATTTGTATCATACTTATATTTTTGTTTGCATCTCCTAGCAACATAGTCAAATCCAAGATTTACAAAGCTGGAAAGGTTTTATACTCCAGTGCTGCTGCTACATATATAACTGTAAGTCTTGTTCAACTCTAAAAGATAAAATTATTTCTTATAACCCATAGTCAACCAGTATTTAAAATAATCAAAATAAATAAAATAATCAGCTAAGTGTGACAAATTTAAAAACCACAATGACTCCAGAAAATAGTCATTTTCTTATATTCAACAGCACTCAATGGTTCCCTAAACGAAGCAGGAGATATATACCCTTCATTTGCATGCTCTCCCACATGTAACCAGAAGTTCTAAGTTCAAAATTTAAAATAATTATAATTACACAAGAGCATACGTGGTCCAAAAGCTTAAAAAGAAATACACAGAAAAGTAGTCACAGAAGGTAATGATAGCATGCGTCACTCTCCTGGATACACGAGCTATTGTTATAATTATAAATTTTAAATGCACTCACATCAATGGGTACTAAGTTAGTTAAATAGGATCGAGAAGCTCCAGCGTGCTATTGCACAAGAAAAGTGACTGTAAATAACAACAATGTATTTATTGTACATTTCAAAAAGCTGAAAGGGTTTTGAAATTTGTTACCAAGAAGAAATGGTAAGCATTTGAGAAGACATGTTGAACCTGACTGTAACAGTGTGATTTTGTATTGGAACATCACACTTACTGACCTACAACAGGATATCCCATTACTATGTACAATTCTATATTTCTATGCATCAATTAACAACAGATTTTTAACAAGATTATAAAAAATAAGTGTGATCAAAATATAAGCTGAAATTGAACAATTTAGTTTGAAAGAGCTAAAAAGACAAAATATTTTTAAGCTTCTATCTTTCCCAAGTATCTAAAAATCAAATGCTAACAGAAAAAAAAAATCTTACTATCATTTTTGCCTATGACTGTGTATGGTTTTTTAATTTAATGAGGACAGTTGGATGTTCTCATGATCCTGAAGCTTCATTTACATTCACCATTAGATATGTTTCAACTTCTGAACAAAATACCTGTGTGAGAGGAAGGTCAGGGCAGGAGTGGGAGTGGACAAAGCGGCTACCAGGATGACTTCACAAAGAACTGGCCATTCGAAAAGTATCCTGGAAAATGTAAGACCCATTTTCCACAAGGTTAACACCTCAGGAAATTATACCACATCAGTGTTTAACCATCCAACTGACCAAAGTCTCCTAAGTTTCTTTTCACATTACCTACCTACATAATTTATTTTGAATTTACCAAGTCGGAGCTTTTATAAAACCCGAGTTAATAATCTCAGTAGTGATGGCTTTCAAATAAAAGGGAGGTCATTTTCCTTATTCAATTTTTTGGAATTCCTAAAAAATAAAATAAGAGAAATAAAAAGATTGTCCTCCTGCTCTCAATGTTCCCTGCCACTCACACAATTCTCCTGATTAATGACCATGAGGGGGAGAGGAAAGGTTTTTGTTTGCACAAAAGGGTAACATATTGGCTCTGAATAAATGAGTTAAAAATTGCTCCCTACATTTCCCAGGGAACAATTTTCTGTCTCTCTCTACACAGTGCCACACTTCAGTTTTAAATTTTGTTATAAATGACTAGACTAATAAGTTGAGATTAAGACCCCATTCAGACATGAAGTCAGCTAAATTCTAAAGAAGAAAAATGTTCTTTCAATATTAATTAACTCTTTCTACCTTTGCAGTATTTAAAAAAAAAAATCTGTGAAGAAAAAATTTCACATTAGACTAATGGTCAAAAAGATTATACTATCCTGCAAAGGTCGCACTCAAAATGTCTACAAAACTGCACAGCTACTAAAGACACAAATACATCTCTTCTAATCACACAGATATTTGCAAAAAATATAGGTTACCAGAAAATATTGAGTTACTTTTAACATTAACCATTTATAATCACCAGTCCTAAATTTATAAAGTATTTGGATAGTCTTCAAATATGTGGGTCATAAAAATGAATTTAAAGCAAATGTATTTGTATTTCTCCTGTTTTTAGACTAAATCAAAGTGACTGTTCCCCAATATTTATTCAGGGATTGTGGTATGCAAGGTGTAGTCCCAGTGCCCCAAATCTCATTGATGAAATAGACAGGATATATTATGGTACTTACCATTTGATGGAAACAATTTCCATCTGACAATTATAAATATTGGCACATAATCCAGGCCTTAAAAAGAAGTCATCTCTCTGGTTGCCCTCGTATTGGAATGTAACACCACCTGGGCTATTTCTAAATAGAGCTAGAATGATTTCCTCTCATCTGTTAGAAATTGTAAAGATGTAATCCCATAACAACTAGAGCCACATCCCTGGGCATGTTTGCCACACTCCTCATAAAATAAAAAGAATACTCTGAGAGGAGGGATCTTTACAAAAATCCTAGTTTAGTTCCTAGGAGATCCAGAATAGCCATAGATCTTGAAAATCTCTCTCTACTTCTAAAAACTATTCCATCAACTTTTCTTGATAAATATGGTGCCTCAGAGCACACCCAATTTCCTGTGGATGGTAGAGCTGGAGGTGAGTGGCCCACCATTCAAACTTCTAGATCCAGATTACTCCACATGATACCCATTAGCCACATGTGGTTACCAGCATTTGAAATGTGGCTAGAATTTGATCCTCTGTGAAATAACTTCTCTAAGGGGCTTTTCAAAGCCCCACTGGCTCATGGGATTTCTCACTGTGCTGTGCATCTTGCCAAGTGTGGAGCCAGATGTAGTTCAAGAAAAGTCAAAGGCTGCAGGTCATTTTGCATGAATAAAGTCTCTGAGACCTAACACAACTGACATGTTTATAGCCGTTCTAGGTACATGAAAATCATGCTGGCAAACAGATTCACCATTTACTAGCTTTGTGTACTATTGTAAAGGTAGAAGCAGAAACACTAGCATGTCATGCTTGGCTTTACGGATGGCTTTCTCGCCATGACATTAAACAGACAGTGTGCATAGTGGATTGTAAATGCATCTTCTGCAGATTTAGAAGAAATATGCTCAAGCATTCTAAAGTATTGAAAGTACAAAAAAAATACTAAGCAAACATTTATATCAATACTAGGACATCTACAATAATTGTTTTGACTCTTGGCTTTTGCTCATTAGCACAAATTTTATGCATTAAAATCATTGTATTGCTTTTTATTTCATATTTTTTGTACTCGTGACTTCAGAGTCAAATACTTGTACACCAAGTATTGCAATCACCTTTCTCTTATTGTACATGCAATGTAATAATAACATACAGTTTTGGTGCTTAATGATATTTCTTTTTTTCTTTAATAAAGAATATTTAAATTTTTTTGTTCTTGCTTTTGTTTTTTTGAGACAGGGTCTCAACTATGTAGTTGAGACTGACCTGGAACTCACTTTGTAGCCCTGGCTGATCTCGAACTCACAGCGATCCTCCTGCTTTAGCCTCCTGAGTGCTGGGATTACAAGCATGTACCACTATGCCCGGCTCTGAAGTTTTAAAAAGAATGTGATTTTTCATGAATATTTGGTAGGTCTTATCTGTAAAACACATAGGACCTACTTTTGATTCATTTTGAGTCAAGGGTTATTTTGTATATCCCTTTCTTAAAGAAGTCATTTCAAAAAATGACAATAAAGGGAAAACTGCCCAACTCATTTTTGGAAATCTAATGCAGAAGTAGGCAATAGATATTTTAGGCTTTCTGGCCTCATTTGCCAACTCACTGTGTATTAGTATCTTGACCACAACTGAAGTAAAGTAATACAAAGCCAATTGACCAGAGGCTTATGCCAGGGACTTTTACAAATAAAGTTTTATTAGAACACAGCCATGTCCACTTATTTATTTATTGTCTATGCTGATTTTACATTCCAACACCAGCATTCAGTAGTTACAAGAGAGGCTGAATGGCCCACAAAGTGGGGAATATTTATTATCTTCCCTTTCACAGAAAAAGTTTCCTGACTCAAGCTGGAGAGAATATGTAGGAACTGACAAACACATTTCCATTTTGGTTTTCTCTCTTAGGAACACTCTTTTCATGCTCAATTGCTTGTGATTCCTGCAAGATAAGCATGAGTCAGCCTTTGGGCATTTGAAATCATCATTCTTCATAACCCTCTGCTTGAAATCGAATTTCCTTAAGATACAATATGCTTTATTCTTTCCTCTCTTATACCATTACAGTAATAATTATAGTAGAGTTAAATTGAATTAAAGAGTTAAATTATATTAAAGAGTTAGTCTCTGTTAACTTTCTTCTCCTTCATTAAATAATATGTATTAATTTTCTTTGGGGCTTGATCTGGGATTGCATTTTTATTGCTGCATCCTGAAATTCCTAGCCCATTGTCTGTAACAGAGTAGTAAGTGTTGAATTTTTTTTTCTCATCATTAACTCCCAATAATACAGACAAAACTATGTTATAACTCTCATGGGAAAGTGAAAAGAGTGAGTTAGACGCAAGAAGAGAGGGAACTTGTCATCTTCCATAGCAAAAAGTCGATCTATATAACATACAACTATTAGTAACAGAAACATCACTCAGAGATTGGAGGCAAAAAGCATGATAAAAAATCAGGTTAAGAAGGAAAAGTGACTCCGGAAGCACAAAAAGAGGTTCTTGGAGGAAAAGAGAAGGATTTTTTTTCTTTTTTTTTCTTTTTTTTTTTTTTGGTACTGGGGATCGAACTTGGGTCCTTATGCTTGCGAGGCAGGCACTGGAATCACTAAGCTAAATCCCCAGCCCTAGAAGGATATTTTTAAAAGGATGTTAGCTCATTGCAGAAATATGGTCTTATTTTTTGATAAAAATAAAACAAAAAACTGAAATAAAGCAAAGTGTACCCAAAGTTTAGACAACATGACATAAAAGTGAAAAGTAACCAAAGCAATATTTCTAAGAGCTACCAGGTTTTGGAGGGCTAGAGTCTCCTTCCCGCCAAGCGAAAGTAGGAAACGTAGTACACTCTACAGCACGAGGGCGAACAGTGACGCAAGAACGCAGTGGCAAAACCTCAGGGCACTGTCCTTGTTGTGTCACCCACTCCGAAGACCCACGTCAGGTCCAGGCCGTCCGACAGGAAACCTGCTGAGGCCTCGCGAGAAGTCCACGCGCAGGGCTTTGGGAACCGTTCTGCACTTGGGTCCTGGGGTTTTGTAATTAACAGATCATACTTCTTCCCCACCAGCTCTGTTATGTCCTAATCATCTGTCTCATTAGAATCTTTTATTTGGGGATAGAAGAATATTGATATTAACTCACATAGATTATGCAAAGTCAACTTAATGGCAAGAAAAAGGAAGAAAAGAAGAAAGAGGAGGAAAAGGGGGAAACAAAAAAGAGAGAAGGGAAGGATGGAGGGAACAAAAGAGGAGGGAGAGAGAAAGGGAAAAAGGGGAATGAAGGAAAGAAGAAGGAATGAAGGAGGGGGGAGGGAA